GATATCTGTTAAGAAAGGTATCAGTCATTTGATTCAGAGAGACAACAACTGGTATTGATTATTTCTTATTGTTACCAGATTTCCACAATGTAGAATTTAGAGTAATATGTTTTTGCAAGTACTGCTCAAGATGAGTATAATTTTTCGTATAATTTATGATCATTTCTTGATTTTCCTAATAATATATGGAAATAAAAATTACTACCTTTTTTTTAACAAGATGGTTTAGGAAAACAATAATACCTAATTGACTTATTCGTTAAGAACAATTTTTTTTTCGTTAAGAACAAATTAGATTACAACTACAGTATATATATAAAGAGATGCAAAGTACAAACCCTAACTAGGTCTAAAGCCATGGAAAGAAAAGAGAAAGAGAGACTCAAAAGAGATGGTACGGAACATTAAGTACCACAAATTCTTGTAGAAGAGATCTTAGAGAGACTTGGTGTAAAATCTCTTATAAGATTCACATCTGTTTCAAAAAAATGGAACTCGACAATCAAATCAACATCCTTTGCATCGAGACATCTAATCCGAGCACAGTCGCAGTTTATATCTTTATATGTAGCATGTTCGAGACCCAAAATTAATATAATGGAGAATGTTAATGTAATATACAAAGTTATCTGCTTATCTTTCAACTAATTTTGACCAAAATTATCCGTTGTTGAAACCAAAATTATACAAAGTTATCCGTTGATGTAACCGCACTGTGTTCAAACATATAGAAATAATGCGGTTGCATCAACAGATACCACTAGTAAAATGCAAATGGATGATACATATGCAATATACCAAAAAAACTAAATCGCATAAGTATGTATGTACGTTAAATAGAAATTTGGGAAATAGGCTTAGGGAAAAATGTACATTTTATTCATAGACTCGGTACCTAAACCATTACCAAGGCAATGGGAAGGTAGTAGATGTCTCCACCATAATGTACCATCACAAAAAGCGAAACACCAGAGACCATAACAACCACTAAACAGAGAGGCTCGACAGAGAACGGACTCAAGCACCAAGTCTATGATCCATAGCACCAAACTGACCAACCCAAAGACCAAGAATCAAACCAATCAAGAGGACAGCCATATAGCCCAGAGCAAAAGCAAAACATAACACACCAACCAACCCCAAACGGTTCTGACCTGCAACAAAAACTGCCAGAAGAAGCTACAAAAGCAGCCTGACCCGGGAGCAAAACCCATGCCACAAGCCGAAACTAAAGGACCCCAACAACAAGTGACACAACTTCTACTCCAAAGATCAGACCTAGACTAGACCCAAAGTCATCCACAAAACCAAAGATCCACCGGCACAGTCAATGCGAGAAGGAAAAGATCACAATCCGAGGAGAAAAGCGTTGGGAAGAAAATCTCAATGAAGCCTCTATCAGATGAAACGAGATGCAGGACCCAGAGCCATCGATGTCCTCTGGCCCGCCGAAAACTCCGGGAAGCTACATCCTCTAACACATCGAGACCTACAAAAACCAGGCTACGAACCCTCAATAGACCAAGACCCCACCAAAGAGAAACCGATAAAGCAGATCGAGCTTCCACAACCCCAAAGACGAGAACCAATTGCACATCTACTCAGATAACCAAGACCCATCTTCATAAATCTCGCCTAACCGAGACAGAACTGCCTGGAAATCGCCGACAAACCAAACCAAGCCTCCGCAACAACCCAACCAGTGACGATGAAGACCTAGCTAAGCCACCAACTCCATGGGGAACGAGAAGACAAACCAAGCATCAATTAATCCACCTAAGTAAACACTCCAAAACCAAACACTAACCAAGCACAAGGGATGAGGGAGACAGAAGTAGCAAAAACACTCAACAAGACACGGCGAAACCCAGCTCCACCGCACTCGTCGAGGATTTCAGATCCGAATGGGGGAAATCGGCAAGGAGGATTGAGCATGATTTCAGATCCGCCACAATCGCTTCAATTTTATTTTTAAATCAATTTTATTTTAAAGAAACCCCAAAGACGAATTAACTTCAATTTTCTTTATTTATTTTAAATCAATTTTTTTTGTGTGCGAGTGACTCATCAAAGAGTACCGTTACTACACAAGCTACCTTCTACTACAAGTCTCTATATAATCTCCCATTTCCATAGAATCTCTTCTCTCATTCTCTCATTCTCTCGCCTGTGCAGATTTTTTTTTAGCGTTTTTTCTGTAAAGCACAAACTTCATCTCTCCCAATTCCTCTGTGCTATTGCTTCTCTCTCTACAATGGCGGATCAAAAACCTCCTCGTCCTCCCACAGGTACGTCTCTTCCGATGAAGTTTTTCTATTGAATATCAACTTCTTGTAACATGTCGATCAAAATTATCTCGAGTAACTAGGGTTTTCGAGTAGGATTACCTTTGGGAGGATTATATATCTTTGGGTTTTTATATAGATTCCAAGGTTTCGTAATCCTCTGCTTTCTTGTAATCATTACCGAGTGATCCA